AGATTATATAGGAACCGAGGTTCCAACCCTTCCTGGCAGGGCCAGTCGAGGCCAAGAGGGATACATCCCAGCAGAAAGCGGGTTTGGGTCTTGTTTTGTGATTCATAATACATTATTGTACATCTCTTTTGTTAACGAAGTTTATTTGAGTGATCATCAAAATGTAACTCTATAGCTTCATGTCAGTAAACGATAAAATCGCCGGTCCATCCATCCACGCCCTGTTTTCTTTTCTCAGCCGGCGACCACGTCAAGTTCAATTTCCCCATGGCCTATACTACCACGGTGCTCACCTGGGGTTACCTCCTCTACCCGGACGCTTACAAGGCAGCTGGTCAGGAGGACGAGATCTTGGACTGTGTGCGATGGCCGTTGGAGTATCTGCTGAAGTGTCACACGGCGCCCGAAGAACTCTATGTACAGGTTGGTGATGAGTCAGGTTGGACAAAATGTCCATTGCCGTGTTTAAAAAAAGAGACATAATATATTCCCCTCTAGCAGTAAACTCAGTGTAAATTTAAAGCACGTTATTGTTGGCTGATGACTGGGGCCATGCCACTACTCAGGAAACCTAGCCGTACGAGTAGCGTTTTGAGATTTTCTCATTTTGAGTAGAGCTTATCACAAATCTGATAATTTACTTGAGTATCAGAGCTCAAAACTCCGAATTTTAGGTACAATATGAATCGCTGACAAATTTTGTCTTTTCTAAATTGTGCGGTCTTTCCCCTCCTCAAAAGAAGTATGATATTCGCAACTGTCTTAAAACTATATAAGATATCCCCGACCACGCATTTGTTAATTGGCTGCATGGTATGAGTTCAACAACCTCCACAATACATAAACAGGTTTTTAGGAGGTGGGTCCAATTCATTGTCCATCTTCTTGAGAACGGAACCAAACTGAAGAGGAGCATGGAGTAGATGAGTACGGTACGTACTTGTTGTTGGACATGGAAATCTTACTCGGAAATAACTCACATTTATATTATTTCTACGTTGAAAGACAGTGCATCTATGTTTCCTGAATCGGATCATATGCACGCCTGAAAACTGCATCTTCGAGTACATTTTGTCAACACCTGATATCTGTAATTGCCCAACATGTCACCGTCGTCTGTGGTGTAGCGGTTAGGCGGTTCGCTGGTGCACGCAGGAGACCCAAGTTTGATTCCCAGGGGGGGGGGGATATTTATCGAGTATCTCAGTCTTTTTGATGGGATGTTGTATCCCTCTCAGCCCGGGGTGGCACTGTCAGGCAGTGAAGTAAGACTGCCACCAAAATAATGTAAATTGTTCCGATGTTGGCTTAAATAATACATCTATTAACCCCCCCCCCCAGGTCGGGGACGCTGGGGCAGACCACAGTTACTGGGGACCTCCAGAACTCATGACCATGGCCAGACCCGCCTACAAGATAACAGCAGCCAAACCTGGAAGCGATGTTGCCATGGAGACAGCTGCAGCAATGTCAGCAGGCTATCTCGCCTTTAAAGACAAAGGTAGGAAAACCCAGTTCCTTAAAAAGAGGAAAGTCCCAATACGATTCAAAATAATGAATTTTGAGTTGTAGGTATTTTCAGCTTCTTCAGCCTCTCTTTCAACTATTTCATAGCATTAGAACCCCCTAAAGCCTTCTTTCTTCCCATACCGAGTATGTTTGTCACCACCATTTCCTCAGAAAGTAAATCTTTTTTTTTCTTTATCGCTCTTTTTTTTCAAAATGCGGTTTTTCTATATACTTCTTTGAATAAATCCATCATTTTTCATACAATCTTCATGAAATTTTCACAGAATGAAGAAAGGATATAATGCTAAAGAGGTGTTAGTTGAATTTTATAATATGGAATAGTTTTTGTTGGTGGTGTTTGGAGTGCGGATTTTAATGCTGAGGAAAAAATTTATAAAAGCTTTTCTAATCTGTTTAGGAAAAATTAAACAGACAAATGTGTAGATCTAATGCTTGTTAACATGTATAAAAACCCAATCTATTTCCATATTATATAAGTGCGGTATTCATTAAGTAAGACATTTCAATAAAATCCAATATGGCCGTAGCCATGAAAACAAAACTTTTCTCTCAAATTTGATTGCGGATTTTAAAACTCCATACCTTGAGATGGGTCGGGCATGTCATCCGCATGGAAGACCACCGAATGCCCAAACAACAGCTGTACGGTGAACTCGCTAGTGGCAAAAGAAATATCGGGAGGCCAAAAAAAGCGGCTCAAAGACACGATAAAGGAAAACCTCCAGTTTGCACATGTTACCCCCAAAGAACTAGAAAGGACGGCCACCGAAAGGAACCCCGGGCGCAGGGCCGTCTGTCTTGCCAACAGAAACAGCAATACCAACTACAGGGATAAGCTGACTATCAGAAAAGAGAGGATACATAATCCGACCACCCCAATCACGACATTCCAGTGTCCCCACTGCACAAGACATTGTACATCCAGGATCGGATTGCACAGCCACATGCGCGTCCAGAGATGAGCTGTAGGATTTCATCGTCATCTTCGGCAACGAAGGACTATCTACACATACACTATGCCTGCTATATGTATGAAATTTGGTAAAATTTGCTCCTCTAATAAGCGAGATAGCCTAAAACCGGTAGTTGAAAGTTTGTGGTATAGTGTACCGAGCAGCCCTGTTTTATAAAATCTCTCTCACCCTCAATTTTCTTTTACACTTCCTCTCCCCCTCCACTCCCTTCTGTCCCCTCTCTCTCCCTCTCTACCCCCCCCTTTTATCACCATCCTATGAAAAGCACGATAAACTCATTATTGGTCTTTTATTCCACTTCTGCCATTGTCCAACGATACCAAAGCTATTTTCTCGTTACTCAATACCCGCTCGCCTCTATGCATTAAATTTGCGGCGACGTGTGTGTGTGTGTGTGTGTGTGTGTGTGTGTGTGTGTGTGTGTGTGTGTGTGTGTGTGTGTGTGTGTGTGTGTGTGTGATTGTGTGTGAGTGTGTGTGTGTGGGGGGCGGGGGGGGGGGGTAAGAGAGAGATTGAAAATCTAGTATAAGGAAAATAAACATTAAACTCTGATGAACACTTGGGACATTTTCTGCTTCATTTAAAACTATTATCTCTGGGTCTTTTCCTTCACCTTTGAAAAAGATCTCTATCTAATTATCTAAAATATTGCGTTTAAAAAACATGAACAAACAAACTAACAAACGAACAAAAATAAACACAGAAACAAACAAAACTTATATATTTCCTCAATCCGAAACAGACCCAACGTTTGCGGCTGACCTTCTGACCCACGCCGAGCAGCTGTGGGACTTTGCCATGAAGTACCCCGGCAAGTACAGCGACTCGGTGCAGGCAGCCGCCGGCTTCTACAGATCTTTTAACCTAACAGACGAACTGTGCTGGGGCTCCCTGTGGCTGTACCAGGCCACCAACGACAGCAAATATCTGGACGAGGCAGAGAAACTTTTTGACCCGGCCCCGGCATGGGGCATGTCCTGGGATGAGAAGACTATCGGGAATCAGGTGAAAGTCCCGTGTTCTAAAAAGCTGAGGTGAAATCAGTGCTGGTAATCTTGACAATATATCGTTGTGTTATACGTTTTGTGGTTGCAGGAACAGTGAACTCTTTAGATAATAAATTTTATTAGCAGCATTTCAGAAAGATTGAGCCTTTTGGTTATTCAGGAAGGTATAAAGGGCAAAGCTCCTAAGCAATAAATATCCAGTTTGAATGAAATCATCGACATTCATTTCAGACTTATATAATCTTTCTCGTTAGAGTACAAGGATGATAATAGTTATAACTCTTCTGAATACCACTATTACAACTTTCCTCCTCATTCTCCTTTTTTCCTCTTCTCCTCTTCTCTCTCCCTCCCCTCATCTTACCCCTTCTCCCTACCTCTCTCTCTGCCCCTTCTCTCTCTTTTTATATGTCCATTTCGCTCTCTCTCTCTCTCCATCTCCCTCTCCTCTCTCTCTCTCTCTTACACATACACACACACACGCTTACACACATACTTGTACACAATTTCGGACGTACATTATCATATTCTCTTTCCCCTCATTTTCCTCATTTCTTTGTTTCTTTCTCAATGCCACCTCCTCTCTGTGTCTACATCCCCCTCGCCTTCTCCCCACCCCTCTCTCTTTCTCTCTTGTATCTCTCTCGCTCCCTGTTATAGTAACACATTAAATATTGGGTATTCCGATACACTTCATAATCACAGTAATGTTTAACAACTTTAACTATTGAGGCGTACATTCCGTCTATGATATCAACAATTAAAATCTTTATCTAGTGGTAACATACAATGTAGTTCTGGTTTACCAAAGTCATAACACTGTTTCCACCCAGAGTAGAGCCATTACCACACCCACGAATTTGCTCAATGCCACGTTGTGTATACCCTTCAATGAGTCTTTTTTCATAAGGATACAATTTTAATCTCTTTTCACTCAGAATACACTCATGACTACACTCACGATTTTACTAAGTCCCACGTCGTATACACCCTTTAATGAATTGTTAATGAGTCTCTCTTTTCATAGGTGTTGTTGTACAAGCTCACGGGCAAAGACAAGTACAAGACAGCCATAGAGGGTTCCTTCAAGTCCTGGTTCCCTGGCGGAGCCATCCCTTACTCGCCCAAGGGTCTGGCTTATAGGAACCAGTGGGGATCTCTGCGTTATGCCTGTGAGTGGTGTGCTTATCCCCAGGAACTCTCGTATTTGGAGATGATATACAGTACCTATAGAAACATAAGGATAGAGAAGGAGGAAGAAGGGGGGGTGGGGGGTGGATGAGCTTCAACTTCGATTCTGGGTGTGGCAAAAAATAATTCATTTATCAAAATTTGGTAATGTTCCATGTGAATGATGGGTCAGGGTTAAGTTAGGTAGAGCAGACCTTCGGTACTCATAAAATAACTCCCCCACTCAGGAACCGATCTCGTGTTTTGCGCATGTCTTCTCTCTTGCCCCCCCCCCCCTCTCTCTCTCTCTCTCTCTCTCTCCTCTTCTCTGGCTCTCTCTCTCTCTCTCCCCCCCACTCTACCCCCAGCCTATAATTGTTGTATGCTTTTGTAGGATTGTTGTAAATCCCGTGATTTGCAAGTCTGATTATATCTCTTTTTGCCACCCCTCCACACACACTCAAGAGGTAAAAAGTCCTGTGCATGTCTTTTTTCTTCGTCTCTCTCACACCACTCCCAGCCAATAATTCCTGTATATTTTTGTAGGATCATAGTTATTCCCTTGCAATACAAGTCTGATTCTTTCTCTCTTCGCCCCCCCCCCCCGCGCGGCGGCCCCAAAGGCAGGCACACACACACACACACACACGCACACACACGGAACACACACACACACACACACACACACAAACACACACACACACATACACATGCACACGAAGCAATATTTTTGGTATATATTTTTGAAGCAATATAGTATTCCCTGTGCATTTCAAGTCTGATTATTTCCTTTTTTTTCTCTGCCCCCCCCCCCCTTAAATCAAACACACCCACAGACATGAGTTACTAAGTTTTGTTTCTTTTTGTAGCGTTATAGTGATCCCTGTCCATTGCAAGTATGATCCTATCTCTCTTTGTTCTCTCTCCTCCCCCCCCCTCTCTCTCTCTCCACCGTAGAAGCCAATGACTATTGCATATTATATATTATAGCATTATAGTTATCGGCATGCATTGCTTGTATTATCCTGTCTCTGTTTGTCCTCCACCTCCCCCTCTCCCAACCAGCCAACATGGCCATGAGTGCCTTAGTGGCCGCAGACATGGGCATCCAGCCCACAGAGTACCGCCACTGGGCCATGTGCCAGATCCACTACGCCTTGGGAGACACGGGCTTCAGTTTCCTCATCGGGTTCGGAGATAAATACCCACACAGCCCGCATCACAGATCCAGGTACAGATTTAGTTTCAGAGGCTGCTTCCCAGAAAGTTGAGATTGTTTTAGAACGCTATCACGTCTGCTGTGGCAATAATAATAATAATAATAATAATAATAATAATAATAATAATAATAATAACAATAATAATAATAATAGAGAAATAATAATAATAGATAGCATTTGTATAGCGCATATCCCCGCTCAACAGAAAGCTCTATGCGCTTTACACTATATTATTACCCCAGCAGACCATAGAACACTCCGAAACATGCTCAGCTTCCCGGGAAGCATACAGTGCGAGCAGCCGATTAAGCGCTCAAACACTAACAAACTGACAAGATCTTTTGCTGTCTATAGCCGGGTACCCATTCCCACCTGGGTGAAGTGAGGAAAATTCGTGTAAAGTGCCTTTCCCAAGGACACAACGTCGGGCCCTTGACGGGATTCGAACCCACGACCTTACGGTTACGGATAGCATTTGTATAGCGCATATCCCCGTTCAACAGCAATATATATTGTAAAGCTCATAGAGTTTGCTGTTGAGTGGGAATTTGCGCTATACAAACACTATCTATTATCATTAAGCTGTTCATATTCTAAGCAGCCTTGCTCACGAGTTTCCTCCGTAGGCTTCTTTTTTACATCTGTGTTTTTACACCCCCTGGAAACAATTTCGATTATAGTAGTGATAACATTTGCATAACGAAAATTCCAGCTTAAAAAGTTCTATGCGCATTACAATCTATACTGTTACCCCAGCCAACCTGATAGAATTCTGAAACAATCTCAACTCCTTTGGAGGCATACAGTGCATAAGAAGATGGGCTTCGTCGCTGCCTGTCAGAGTCAGCCCGGGCTGAGGGGGATACAGCATACCAGCCAAAAAACTGAAATACTCGATAAAAGTCCTCCCCACTCGGGAATCGAACTCGTGCATGCGACGGCAAGGCGCCTGACCGCTACACGATTGACGCCGGTAGACCTCTTTTGGAGCAGCGAGAGATTCTCTTTGACGACACATACGAACAATTTTAGTTGGCTCCACTGCAGCAAGGTTTTTGGTGGGAATAAAACCCTATAGTTATATTGTCAGGATGGTAATCAATTAACTCCCAACCCCCCCCCCTCCTCTCTCCCCCTGCCTTCGTCATTGTCAGACATTGAAGGTTGAACTATTATTATTATTATTATTATTATTATTAGTATTAGTAGTAGTAGTAGTAGTAGTAGTAGTAGTAGTAGTAGTAGTAGTAGTAGTAGTAGTAGTAGTAGTAGTAGTAGTATTGTTATTAATTTCATTATTATTATTATCATTATCATTATTATTATTATTATTATTATTATTATTATTATTATTATTATTAT